TTGGCCTCCAAAGTGTGCTTATTTTTCATAAATACTAAGAAAAAATTTATTTGAAAATTATTTGGCTTAGGATCTTAACATATGTATACAAATAAAATTATTTTTAAGAAATGTTTTGAAATGTTTACAACATGAAAGCTTTAGATGAAATTTATTCTTAGTAATTGTGATAATAACGCATTGTTAAAAATTTGTAATATATCATATATTATTAATCATCTTTTATTAGCTAATTGAGTTTTCACAATAAATGTTAATAAGGCTGCCAATTGTAAAGAGAAGATTATTTATTATAATCCGCTAAATTGTGACATCATAAACAAATGTAATTTTAATGAAGGGTATATTATTTAAAATTTTACAAGCCTGATTATAATGGTGACTAGTATTTGGCAGACAAGGATAATTGACTTTGATTTTTTTTTTGTTATTACTTTATTATGATTCACTAACTTATATTATTACACTATAATTGCTGTTTTAATGGGTATTGCATTATGATAATGAATATATTTTAAATAGTTACAGAATAAAAATGATTATATTACCATATTTTGTTGAACAATATTTTGCAATATATAAATAAATTATGTGCATTTATCCAGTAGTTATTTTTATTATTAAAAATACAACTTCTGCTATTATATATATATATATATATATAATATATATATATATAATATATATATATATATATAGCAGAAGATTATGAATCATATATATATCATAATAATATGATTCATAAATATTAGTCATAACAAGGACAATTATAATAAGTACAATATTGACAATGTTAAGTATTCCATTGGCAAGAAAGTTGAAAACTATGGCATTTATACCCCTAATGTGTTAAGATTTTTTACATGTTGAAATCTTCTTCGACCATCAAGGTACATCATGGCTTCATGATAAGTTTTTGGAATAACCTGTTGCATCTTATCAGGAATGGAATATGTATAATGAAATACATTTGTTGTGTTGCTGGAGCCAGTATTTGGATCATATACATCAGTATAAACCACTATTTGCATATACTTAAGCTCTGTGTATACTATATATGCATGCATTCTCAGTAAAGAAGATACATCCACAGGCTTATGGAAACTGATATCACTGATGTGCTCTAACTTTGGCCGATGTTTACTGTAATTAAATTTTATGTTTTTTTTTTACTTATCTGTTACTATTTGTGAAATACTTACCTATGAAGATAACCTGCTGCCCATGAAAGTTCCAGAGCATGTCTCATCAAAAACCCACCAAATACTTTATTATGAAGATTTCGATCTTCTGGATGGGAAAAAACTAAATTTGATAACTTTGCATTTTCCATCCACATAGATGAAGGAGGAAGCTAACGTGAAGTAAAGGATTGATCATTTGTTTCTATTGTCTGTATGAACAAATCATGAATAGTACGCTGCTCTGATTCATTTGGTATGACCTTAAATAATGATTCTTGAGAAATTTTTTGCCTCCTCATCTTGCGATCTTAAATAATATTTTGAAATTGAAATAAATTGATTCATGAACTTATAGAATAAACACTCAAATTACTTAGGCCTCCTTCAAAGATTTTGTCTCTCCATCTGTACTGGGTTGCAAAGGATTCACAACGCTGCTCCAGTATTTGAAGGATTTCTAGCAGCCATTAAAAATAATGCACGAGTAATTTTTTGCCATGAACCATGGGATTGCTGTTCTAACCACACAACTACTTCTACTGATGATTTTCCTACCCAACTCACATGGCCTGACAACCTAATATCAGCATCATGCTAAAATTATATAATATATAGATTACAAATATATATACTCTAGTAACAAATATATACCTTCGGTATATAATCTGTGAAATCTATTTCATCGACCAATACAGTTACTAAAGTATATGGCAATGGTATACCTTCCTGCAGATTTGGTATAACTAAATGCTTATTGACAACCCACACTAAAATTTATACAAAAACAGCAAATGTAAAGGGCTAAATAGTAAGTAAATAAATTAAAATGTGCACAAAAAACTCTAGCAATTATGGTTAATGCTATTTTTGTTCAACTTGGAGTTTAGAAACAGCTATTTAAACATCAATTATTTATTTCTGAGATATAAGAGCAGAAAAATTCAAGTCATAAATGTGTTATTGACATTTTGTAACTTGAAACAAAACTTTACAAATAATCTATTCATCTAAGGTAACCAGAAGTCTCGTTTGGCCGGGATAAAAGCAATACTTGTCCCAGATTATCCCAGTTTTTTCGAAAATTAATAGGTAAATAAGCAAGAATTATGAAAACGATTAAGTGCTCACAAGACTCAAAAGCAACAAAAATATACAGATCGGAAATATAACATATAATATATCATAAGTAGAAAGTCAAAATAATAATCAAATAATAAAATTCTTACTAAATCTGCAACTCTGATTAGAAAAAAAAATTATATATAAAAACTGTTTTCTACTGTAAAATAAAAAATATGGTCACCTTAATTCATCTTAAATCTATTTAAAAATATAGATGTTTTTATAGATGTTTATTTAAAGAATACCAGCAAATAAGTCCATATCCTCCATGAGCCTCCCTAATCTAACATGGCCTAAAAATGTTACATATTATCTTGCAACGTAGTATCTGAGCTCAGAGGAATTACTGCAGAAGTAAAACTATCTTGCATTGAGCGACTAGGAAGTTCTGATTGAGATTTGGGTGTAAATTTTGCTAAGTGTTCTCTAGATTGTAATAATGGTTTAAAACCTGGTTCCACTCCCATAATTCTCATCAAACGGTTCTTCACTAAAAATTATTTTAGTTAATCTCAATTTCAAAGCTATAGATAATTATGTATAAATAACAACTACCATCTTGCATAGTATCATTAGTTTCTTTAGTTTCTCTGGTAGAATTCAATGAAAGAAATCTGCACGCAGAATATTTTGCCTAATTGAAAAATAATCAGTATATTTTGCTACTATATAAAGATGTTATTATATTAAATTTAAATTTCATATATAATACAAGAGTGTTTA